GGCATTTAAGCCCTGACAACAGTCTATTAGTGGTGCTGATAACTTGTGCTCCAGAACGAGCAGCCACTCTCACCAAGCTATTTGAGCACTGCTATAAAACTAACACTTATCATATAGTGTAGAAAATTGGCCTGATATTTCCTGTCCATAAAAAGCAGGACAAATCCAATCATGGCCATTATTGCCCCATCAGCCTCCTCTCAATTATTAACAAACTGACTGAAAGTGTTGTCGACAGTGCAACAAGTGGCTCTTGTTTGGGGATACTCTGTGGCAATTGGCTTGAGATCTGACATGGTTACTCAGGTCCTTGTCTCATTCCATTCTTGGTCCAAGCATGGACAAAAGAATTGAACTTGTGGGATGTGAAAGTTCTTTACATCAAACTCTGGTATCACAAAACCCAAGCAAAACTGAAGTTAATCAGAATTAGATAATCACATCCAGTTGTTGTGGCGTAAGTAGGTATCAGCAGTTTAGGTAGAAAGGGGAAAGAGGCCCTGTTGAAGGAATTCGAGCAGCTAGGGGCTAAATTAGAAAGTAGACCCAAAAGGTAATAATCTTTGGATTACTAACTGAGCCACAAGCAAATTGGCACAGGGTCAACACGATTAAAGAGGTAAACTTGTGGCTCTAAGATTGGTGTGGGTGAAATAGGTTCAAATTCATGAAACATGGTTTTGTCGAGGGTTGATCATGCCTGAGAAATCTGTTAGAGTTATTTGAGGAGGTAAGGAGCAAGTTTTATTTATTCATTAATGGGACGTGGGCAGCACTGGCTGGCCAGCACTTATTGTCCGTCCCAAGTTGCTTTCAAGAAGATGGTAGTGAGCTGCCTTCTTGAATCGTTGCAGTCCATGTGCTGCAGGTTGCTGGTGTCTAGGTCCATCTGATTTCATTTCTTTGAGAATTCATTGCAATTGATATAGCTGAGTGGCTTGCTAGGCCATTTCAGAGGGCAGTTGAGAGTCAACCACATTGCTGTCACATGTAGACTAGAGAAGGTGAGGATGGCAGATTTCCTTCAATGAAGGACATTAGTGAGACAGATGGAATTTTTTGACAATCAACAATGGTTTCATGGTCAACAGTAGATTCTTAATTCCAGATTTTTTTTATTGATTTCAATCCATGGCAGATTTGACCCTGGGTCCTCAGAACATGAGCTAAAGTTTCTGAATGAATAATTGACAGATAATACTACTAGGCCGTTGTCTCCCCGCACTGTACATGACTTGTTTCGGTTTCCAGAAGGTGCAGTAAAAGGCAGTGACTAAATAGGATAAGAGCCCAAGGTGTTGGGGCAAGTTATTGACATGGATAGAGGATTGGCTGACTGGCAGAAGGCAAGAGAGTAGGGTTAAAGGGGTGTTTTTCAGGATGAAAGCTGCTCACTGGTGGAGCTCTGCAGGGGTCAGTGTTTCGACCACAACTATTCACTTTATACATTAATAATTTGGACGATGAAGGAACTGAGGGAATTGTTCCTAAGTTTGCAGATGACACAAAGATGAGTGGAGGGGCAGGTTACGTAGAGGAAGCAGGAGAGCTGTAGAAGTACTTGGACAGGCTAGAAAAGTCCAGGCTAGGTCAAAGAAGTGGCAGATGGAATACAATGTGGGAAAGGTGAGGTTACGCACTTCGGTAGGAAGACTTTGGAAATCTGAAGATCAAAGGGACTTAAAAGTCTTAGTTCAGGATTCTCTTAAGGTTAACATAGGTTCAGTTGGTGGTTAGGAAGGCAATGTTAGCATTCATTTCAAGAGGGCTAGAATACAAGATCAGAAATGTGCACCTGAGGGTGTATAAGGCTCTGGTCAAACTGCATTTGGAATATTGTGAGCAGACCTGGGCCCTGTATCTAAGGAAGGATATGCTGGCCTATGAGAAGATCCAGAGGAGGTTTGCAATAATGATCCTAGGCATGAGGGCTTGCCATTTGAGGAGACGTTGAGCTCTCTGGATTTGTTCTTGATGGAGTTTAGAAGAGTGGTGGTAGGGCAGATCTGAAACTTACAGAACACTGAGATGCCTGGATAGAGTGGACATGGAGAATACGTTTTCAAGAATAGGAGAGACTAGGACCCGAGGCAACCTCAGAGTGAAGGGGCGACTTAGAGTGTAGCTGAACAATTTCTTCAGCCACAGTGTGGTGAATATATGGAAATTATTGTTGCAGAAGGCCTTGGGGGCAGTAACCATAATACAATGGATTTCACCCTGCAGTTTGAGAGGGAGAAGCTCAAATCTGATGTAACAGTATTATACTTGAGTGAACGTAACTGCAATGATTTGAGGGAGGAGCAGGCCAGAGTTGATTAGCAGGGAAGGCGGTGGAGCAGCAACATTAGGTGTTTCAAGGAGTAATTCAGTGTACACTAGAAATTCATCCCAAGGAAGAAGTAGTATACAAAGGGGAGGACGAGGCAACCATGGCTGACAGGGGAAGTCGAGGACAGCATTAAAGGAAAGAAAAAGGCATACAATGTGGTGAATATTAGTGGGAAGCCTTTAAAAACCAGCAAGGGTGGGGAGAGATGAAATATGAGAGTAAGCTGGCTAGTAATATAGAAGAAGATTGCAAGAGTTTATTTTAGATATCTAAATTGTAAGAGTGAAGAGGCAAGAGTGAAAGCTGTATAAGGCTGTGGTCAGACCATATTTGGAATTTTATGAGCAGATTTAAGTCCCATATCTAAGGATGGGCTGGAGTTGGATTGGGTCCAGAGGAGGTTCATAAGAAAGATCCCAGGGAACAGGGGCTTGTCATAAGAGGAGCATTTGAGGACTCTGGGCCTGTACTCAATGGAGTTTAGAAGGCTGGGAGGGATGTCGTTGAAACTGATTGACCCGGAGAAGACGTTTCCGCTAGTAGTAGAGACTAGGACCCGAAGGCACAGCCTCAAAGTGAAAGAACGAGCCTTTAATACTGAGATGAGGAGGAATTTCTTCAGCCAGAGGTTGTTTAATTTATGGAACTTCGTGCCACACAGGGCTATGGAGCCCAAGTCATTGAGTGTATTTAAGTCAGATTTGATTGGTACTGATTAGTAAAGGGATCAAGGGTTGAATGGAAAAGGCAGCAATCTTCAGCTGCTTCATCCAGACCATCCCTCCATCTTAGGGCCAGAAGTCAGGATGTTTGCTGATATTTGCATGACGTTCAGTACCATTTGCAGCTCCTCAGATACTGAAGCACTCCATGTCTATATGTAAAAAGACCTGGACAGCATCCATACTTGAATTGATCATTGTCAAACAATGTTAGTGCTGCACAAGTATTAGGGAATGATCGCCTCAACTGAGAAGATTTAGTCATCCTGTCTTGACAATCATTGGCATTACCGTCACTGAATCTCCTGTTTTACCATCTTGATGATTTCTAGAAATTAAACTGATCTTATAACTTTCGCTATAAAAGCATGTGAGAAATCTGGAATTCTGAGGCAAGTTACTCACCTTATAACTCCTCAAAATTTATCACCATCTGCAAGACACAAAGCAGGAGTAATGAAATAATCTTTATCTACTTGGATCAGTAAGTAACTTGGGTGGCATGGTGACTCAGTGGTTAACACTGCAGTCTCACAGCTCCACGGACCTGGTTCAGTTCCACCCTTGGGTGACTGTGTGGAACTTGCCCATTCTCCCCATGTCTGTGTGGATTTCCTCCCCATCCAAAGATATGCAGATTAGGTAGATTAGCCATGCTAATTTGCCCGTAGTGTCCAGGGACGTGTAGGTTAGGTGGATTAGCCATGAGAAATGCAAGATTACAAGGATTGGGAAGGGAGACTGGGTCTGAGGGGAATGCTGATCAGAGAGTCAGTGTGGTCTCGATGAGCCGAATGCCTGCTTCCGCACTGTAGAGATTCTGTTATTCTATGAAGTGCATTCCAGCAACACTGGAAAAGTTCCACACCATCCAGGATGAAGCAGGCTGCTTGATTAGCATCACACCTGCCACCTTAAATATTCATGTGTTCCCTGTACCACTTCAATCGACAATGGTAGTAAACACATGAAAACACCACCATTTACAAGTATCTCACTCTAAGCCACACGTCTTCCTGAGTTAGAAGTATTTCACTATTCCTTCATTGTCATTGAATCAAATTCAAGGAGCTCCCTAACAGCACAGTAGAAGTACAAGCACCAGATGGGCTGCAAGATTCAAGATGGCAGCTTTTTGTCACCTCTTAAGGGTATTTCGAGATGGGCAGTGAATGTTGACCTTGTCGGTGATGCCCATATCACATGGAAGATTTTTTTTAAATGTACTGTTGGTTCTCCTAGCATCTACCACAGGCCCTGGCAAGCAGCTTTATCCATCAGAACCCAGTCAGAATTCCTCCACCTAGCATACCCTCAGTAATTTTTTTTCTCCCAATTCATGCTCAATATTGAGGCATACCAATTAATCAACTGAGGGGACAAGATGATAATCGGCAGGATATCCAAACCATATTTAACCGGATGTTATGAGTATTCACAGGTTCCTCTATCAATGATGAGGACTCGTTGTACTACTCTCTCCCTTTCTTGTATCATCCCATTCTCACCCCTGTCCACTTACCAGTGGACGAGCAAAGTCTAGGATTTTGGTTGAAAAATATGTTTCTGAGTGTGATGAGCCATTGGAAAGCTAGATACTTTTAGCACCAGTTCCCAGAAGTTTGAGAGAAGGTCTTTACAATGTTACCTGGGCAGGATGTACTTTTGTTGCAACGGCTTGATGTCTAGTACAATGCTGCGTGCTGTATCTGGTTTTATTCTTGGTTTCCTTATTCTTGCTATGTATGCTATTGTATAAATTTTCATCATGATTTTCTTTTATATAATCAGTGTCACATTCATTTGCAATAGCCTTTCAAGTCGAAGAAAATGCTGAGTTGGAACCTGCTCAATAAACGTGATTTAAAATGTGTATCAGTCATGGTTATCCACAAACTGCATTTATTTTATCGCATACTTTTTATGTTTTTTTTATTTCTTTACAGGCATTTGTGAAGGATGTGCATGATGAGGCTTTAACTGTTGCTTTTGAGAACAAGTAAGTCCTTGTCTTGCATGGTATTTCCTTTGTAACATTACTTGTTAGTTTTTGAAGGAAAGTAACGCCTTAATTGAGAGTAAAAATGAAAGTCGCATGATTTTGTTATTTTTGTTCTTTGCTCAGTGTACTAATTTTCTGAATAAAAGTTAGCTTGTATTCTTTCCCTGGAATTTTTTCCCCTTTTTTAAACAGAATGATCCTCTAATATCTAGTCCAAATATTAATTTTCAACCATTCGTTTACAATGCTTATCAGCTGTGTTTGAATCCAAGCCAAGTCTAACTTAATTCTTATCCAATAACCATGCATACTTGCATTTCTAGCAGTTACCAGATAGTGTTGAGAAATTTTGCCAATTTTGTTTTGCTCTGATCTATGGATGATACAGCCATTTGCAGAAATTCTAATACTCCTCTGATCAGGATACAAATGGAATTCTCCCCGATCCTACTGGGGATTTTTATGGAAACTTTTTTATGGATGAACTTGCCTTTATACAAATTCAGTTTTTTTTATTTGCCTGTAGATTCTCAGGGTGATCTGACTGACCTCCAACCACTTAAAACTGTTTAAGCTGGTTGTAATGTTTTATGTTCCTGGTAATAACTTTCTACAATTATTTTTAATCCTGGTAGTTTTTCTGAAGAAAATTTAAATCGCTGACTGACATCGTTTTACAATGATAGCAGTATTTTCTTTTTTTCAATTAGGTGAAGAATTTAGCCAATTACCTTTTTAAAGTTAATAAAATTACTTTCATTCTCATTTGATCAAATGAAAAAGTAGGATGTCCAATCCTGATCTAATAAATGGTTTCAATGCAGGGCATGGGTTATGTTCCAGAACACTAAGATGCATCATGAGTGGTTTGTACTTGGCCTTCAGATGTGGGTAGTCACTGACAATGCAAAGTATTGTGGTGTACCACAAGGATCTGTTCTGGGTCCTCTTCTATTTGTGATTTTTGTAAATGATTTGGATGAAGGAGTGGAAGGGTGGATTAGCAAGTTCGCAGACGATACGAAGGTGGGTCACGTTGTGGACAGTGCGGAGGGCTGTTCTAGGTTACAAAGGGACATGGATAGAATGCGGAGCTGGGCTGAGAAGTGGCAGATGGAGTTTAACCCTGAAAAGTGTGAGGTGATTCATTTTAGAAGGACAAACTTGAAAGCAGAATACAGGGTTAACGGAAAGATTCTTGGCAGTGTGGAGGAGCAGAGGGATCTTGGGGTTCATGTTCACAGTTCCCTGAGAGCTGCCACCCAGGTGGATAGAGTTGTTAAGAAGGCGTATGGTGTGTTAGCTTTCATTAATAGAGGGATTGAGTTCAAGAGCTGTGAAGTTATGCTCCAGCTGTACAAAAGCCTGGTTTGGCCACGTCTGGAGTATTGTGTCCAGTTCTGGTCACCTCATTATAGGAAAGATGTGGAAGCGTTAGAATACGTGCAGAGGAGATTTACCAGGATGTTGCCTGGAATGGAGGGAACGTCTTACGAGGAAAGGTTGAGAGAGCTCGGGCTTTTCTCTTTAGAATGACGAAGGATGAGAGGTAACTTGATAGAGGTGTACAAAATAATCAGAGGTATAGATAGAGTAGACAGCCAGAGACTTTTTCCTAGGGTGGAGGTAGCTTTTACGAGGGGACGTAGTTTTAAAGTGAAAGAAGGTAGATATCAGGGAGACATCAGAGGTAGGTTCTTTACTCAGAGTGGTAGGGGCGTGAAATGCATTGCTGGAGAGGGTAGTGGAGTCAGCCTCATTAGGGGCAATTAAGTGGCTATTAGATAGGCATATGGATGATAGTATAAGGTAGCGGTGGAGGTTAGAGAGACCTTAGGTTTAGGGTAAAAGTTTGGCACAACATCGTGGGCCGAAGGACCTGTACTGTGCTGTACTGTTCTATGTTCCATCCCTCGTTACAAGTCACCATACTGTGTGATTCTGAGATCATCAAGGCAAAGCCAGGTGGGGTGGGATTCTTCTCTTAAGGTCTTTATGATAGCTTTCTGCTAATTTGTGACCTGGCATGAATCACTGCATTCAGTTTCTCAACTTGCCTTGGTAGGAATACAGACTCTGAAACTCCTGGCTTTGTAAGTCCATTTTCATTAAGTTATTGCATTTTTTTAACATTGGTATACCCTCTGTTCCTATTTAGCGGTCTGATTTTGCTGTGAGTTATGAGCAGAAATGCACGGGGCTAAGTGGAATGTCCCAGGATGCTTTCATTATTTAGGGAGTGTACTAGGTCTTTGATTGGCAGTCCTAGTTGTGCTGGTGGGTCTGTGCCCAGGAAAGGTGACAACAGGCAGATGGCTGTATGGGTGGCAGAGGTGGAAGTGCAATAGTGAGTCAGGAACTCTCCGGGAGAGAGGAACTAATGCAATATAGCATTTAAATATGGGAAACACCTTCTCCAGGCACTCAATGCTACTTACTGTCATTGGTGAGCTTTGATTCAAAAAACTTTTTATCAGAAAGGACAACACTGAGCTGACAAACCCTGTGCTTTTGAAATGTTTATTTCTGACGAGTAGATAGGCAATTTAAATCTGCTAGCTGAAGTATAAATCCAAACCTTAAGTCAGTTTGTTATTTCTCTTGTTACTTAGAATAATTTTGTTCTCTGAATAAACTCATTTAAATTCTGGTTTCAGCTGGCAACCTGAGCGGCAGATTCCTTTCCATGATGTTCGATTTCCACCACCAGCAGACTATCACAAAGACATTAACGAAGGTGATGATGTTGAGGTATGTGAATGTCCATGAAAGTATTGCATTACAGCGCCTTGAACTTTCTATAAGTTAGTGAAGGGTTCACCCATGAAGTTAACCTAATTATACAAATGTTTGACACTTTGAATTTAACATGGGTGTTATTTAATTTGAATCTTCTGAAAAACTATTTGTTACAATTATGTGACACAGCCTTAATTTTTAGTAAAAACTGAAATAACTGTGGATGCTGTAAATCAGAAACAGAAGTTGCTGGAAAATCTCAGCAGGTCTGGCAGCATCTGTGAAGAGAAATCAGATTTAACGTTTCGGGCCTGGTGACCCTTCCTGAGTTCTGAGGAAGAGTCACCGGACCCGAAATGTTAACTCTGATTTCTCTTCACAGATGCTGCCAGACCTGCTGAGCTATCCCAGCAACTTCTGTTTCGGTTCTTAATTTTCAGTATTCTGATCTGCACATCTAAAGCCAAAATATATGAATAATTAGTGAGAGAAGATCCCATTTATAAGCTCAGTCTTCATGATGGCATTTTAGAACTAAATCGAATTTTCCTACTGCTGAATTAACTCTATTTTCCTTTCAGTTAATGTTTTACATTGTAACAGTAGCTATCAAAGTACTCCATTGGCTGCAAACCACTTTGGGAAATCCTGAGAGTCAGAAACGTGCTATAGAAAAGAATGTCTGTCTTCCTTTTCTTGCTTTAAATATCTCTAGTTGAGAAGCCTCCACTAGCAGGGACACAATAAACCACTGTTAAAATTTGTGTGGTTCCATGTTATTTGCTGAAATGTTCAGTGCACTTTGCACAGACTGCATTGAACATTGTAAAATGATTATCCTGAAGTGTGAGCTTTAAACTGGTATTTCCTCTTAACTAATTAGGTATTTTCTCCTTTGGCTGTGAGCATGCAAATCAGAATACTGAACATTATCTTAGCATACTGTCCTTCCTTCTTATTCTATCCTTTCCTTCAGTTGTTAAATGTATATCGAATTTTGTCCCGATCTCAAAAGCATTTGGGGAGTAATAAATCAGATCTGGTTTTAATGCCTTTCATCCATGGGGAAAAATGTGTGTAGGACTTCCTTACAGTTGATCCAGAATGAACACAAGTCAGTGAGTCTGTTTTTAGGGGAATTGTCATCCCTTTGCATTTTTTCTCTTCAGAGCTATCCAATTAGTTACCCTGCTTCCTTGTAAAATTTCCCTATTTAAAATGTGTGCTTTTCAATCAGTTGCACGGTGTAATGGAATTTGAATTCACAGCATGTGAGTTGTTTTTTTTAATTACCCCAACTGCACTTCATTGTACCCATCTGCCTGATAACCCATAGATAAAGTCATTTATTTGCAGTGAGAAAGTGACATAATCCTAAAATATGGTGTCCTTGAAATGTGTATATAAAGAAGTTCCAGGAAGGTCCTACAGAGTAAAAGAGAAATTATGGTAGTCAATATAACCCAGTGTCGGTGACCTCTCTGCACTTCGCTCAGGAAGAAGTGTTCTAATCCACTATAGCAAATTCCAGTGGTGCTTCTTAATAAGGGCAAAGAATGTTTGCAAATTCTACAGCATTCTGATGTAGTTGAGAAAGCAGAGCACTTGAACCAATTAAATATGATTGTCTGCTTGAAGAATGGTACCCAGTTTTGTGTGGACTTGGCATCAGTTTGTTAAAAGAGTAAATAAAGGAACCAGTGGAATTTCTCATTCTTTCTCCTTTGTGTCCCCAAAGCAGACTAATCACTGGATTAAAGTAAACTATGTGAACCAAACTTCTTGGGTTGCCTTTCAAGTGATCTCCAAAGTTGCTGAGGAATTAACTGGGACTTTTTAGTGCCTGTAAACTGAGCCTAAAGGTTTAGCAGTGGAAACCCAGCAGTTATTTTGAGCCTGTGATGGCAGTTGAGGGACAGTCAGGAAGCAGAGATGGAGAAACTAAGATTTTCAACAGTTGCAGTGGACATTATCAGAAGTGCTTGCTCAACCTTTAATTAAATTCTAACCTCAGCCTTAACCATATCCCTCTCTTGCCATTTTATGCATTTCCAAACCTAATCCCCAGGTCTTGTATTCAGCTGACTAGTCATCCTTCTAGAATTCCAGACTTCCTAATTTTCCAGATTCATTCTCCTGCGAACAATCTTGGCCCTCTTTTTCATGTGTGCTGTATGTTAAATCCATTACTCATCATTGCTTACCTGTCCCTCATTCCAGTTCTTCTGCTTTCTCACATGCATGTTCCTGAACAGCTTTTACTGCCTGGTACCAACTTCAAGGTACTCTTTTGTTGATTACCCTCTTAGCCTTATAAAAGCTAAGATTAAAGATTGATCTAGTGCCCAAAGCGAATGTAGTTGAGAGACTTGCACAGAAAAAGGGGAATGGAAGAAATCTCACAACATGATAAAAGGTTTGGTGCTGATGGTTGGCAAGATAGAGGGAAAGCAAAGAGTGACAAATATTAGGAGAACAAGTGCTTATTTTAAGATTTCTTTGTTTAATTTGGGAAATGCCTTTGGTGGAAACTATTGTAGTTTTTGTTGTAAACCAGCTTTATGACAAATAAGCCATATGATTTTATTAAGGAGCTACCTTAGTCTTAATATCACAATGCCTTTAAAACAAATACATTACCCAAGGTGTACAATTTCACACCCCCTTCCCCAAACTATTTGCATTAGGCTTATTTCTGTCATTTTATAGAATCCATCTTTCAAAATGTACCATAAATAATCTAAACTTGTATCAATGTGGAAAGACCGTGCAGTTTTATTCTATCTTTTGCTGCATGTTTCTTAAGATGACCTCTCTAAATTAGGAATTGTACCTTTTTTCTCAGGTGTATTCTCGAGCAAATGAAAAAGAACCTTGTGGCTGGTGGTTGGCAAAAGTTAGAATGATGAAGGGTGAAGTAAGAGATTTGTTATACTTGTATTCAGGTTTCAACTTAATATTAATTTCATTGATATTTTAAAAGTACAAATTACACTTGGTTTTAAAATTGAAACCTATCTGGAATGGTAGAAAATATTCAAAGACACTTTACTTTTCAATTTGAGGATGTCTCATTATGTTTAAAAATGCATCTTTTTAAATTACATTAATTGCCTTGCTTTATATTTTGAAACTTTACTTTAATCCTGCATGTTATTTTGTTTAGACTTGCGGATTAAATTCTATTAACACCATAAAACCACAAACTGACAGCAGTTTGACGGGGGAGGGGGAGACGAGGGAATTGAAAATTGACACTGGTGGCACCCTTCTTTACACAAGGATATATTTTCATAATTATTTTATTTTTTAGCCCCTTTTCACAATTAGTCCCAGATAGCACAAGAGATAGATAATGTAAACTACTGTTGGGAATGCATGCTAGTTACTTGGTACCTAATAGCAGTAGCCATTAAGTGAGCATTCGGTTAATGTCTTACTATGGGTTCTCTATTATAACAATAAATTTGTTGAATTGCGGCTTGTAAGTGAAAATTGCTTATTTTCACAAACATTCTCATTTCTGATTTGACTTTTGTGTTGGATTATTTACAAAATAGTTGTTTAAAATTATTATAGGAAATGGCTTTTCTAGAAGTAAAAAGATTAACAACAGGATTGATTACGTTGGGGAATAAACTAACCCACGTTGCTGCGGATGAATTTTTACGAAGTCTCCGAGGGCTTGGTGAGGTGCAGGTTAAATGGCAAATATAGTCCCAGCAGTTGTTGCAAACATCACTTAGTTGTTGTCTGTACTAAGTTGTAAAGTATTTTCCATCCACATGTGCAGCTATTTTGTTCAGTTTTCTTGTGCACTTGTGACTATTCTGTTTTCAGTGCATTAATGTCAAAGAAAGCACAAATTTGAAGAAATGCTTTTTAAAAAGAAAAAAATTATTCAGTTTTATGTTATAGAATACGCCGTCTGTGATGCCACTTTCAATGAAATAGTTACAGTGGAACGGTTACGACCTATTAACCCTAATAAACCTGCAACAAAAAGCACATTCCACAAAGTAAAACTTGATGTTCCAGATGACCTGAGGCGTGTGTAAGTAAAATTTTAATACATTAAAAATAAATTTAAGAATTTAACGACTACCGCATTAAATCTAGTCTCTGTGTTTAATAATTTAGCCTTAATCTATTTTGTAGCCTTAACTCTCATTCATTATTTCCAATTGTGTATTTCAATTATTTATAGATGTGCCAACGAATCTGCACATAAGGATTTTAAAAAGGCTGTTGGCGCTTATTGTGTGTACTTTGATTCAGAAAGTAATCAACTAATTGTTTTGGTACGTGTGAGATTTTCTTTTTTGCCTTCCCTATGCATTCATTTTTGAGCTTCTTTGTACTGAATTTATCCTAATACCATGCTTCTTTATAAACCGCTAGTCGACCAACGAAATGACAGCAAAGCGAGCAAGCATGTTGAGTGACATGCATTTCAGAAGCATCCGGACAAAGTTGACTCTGATGTTGAGGAATGAGGAAGCCAGCAAGCAGCTGGAGGTATGCAAAGATGGAGTAGTTTTTTTTCCAACTATTCCCTTATCTGATGATCTAATTTTGGATAGAGGGATGTAATTCTGTAATGAAAGCTTGTTGTGAAATACTAGTAAGTAGGAAACAAAGGTACCTCGTGGTTAGTCACGTTTTCACACTATTCTCCTTCCTCACCCCTCAAAGCCTGAAAAATTATGAAAGATTTGCAAACCAGCTGTCAGAAACTAATGGCTTGTTGATAGCAGTAATCAGGCTGCATTGTTGAACTGCACAATGGTAACAGTTATGATCCCAGGTACTGGACAGGTCACATCCCAGTGTGAGATCTGACTTGATCAAATACAGGTCTTATTTTTCTTTTTGTTTACTCTAGAAGTCAATCATTGAACGTTTTTACGAGATGCTGCTAATATACTTTTAGAAAAAGAACCTAAGTTCCTTTCACAAAAGAAAAAATGCAATCTGCGGTATACTAAATAAGAACTATTTCAGATGATCTTACAGATATCACATTTATCCTTTTAACCCATATAACCATCTTGCAGACACTCAAACCTCAGTGAAGGGTCATCCCGGCCTCCACAATAAAGCTCCTTGTTCAGGTAGAATGAATGGTATCAATTTCTTCTCAGCAGATTTCTTCTTTCTCTCAGTGCTATTTTCTTCAGTTAATGTCTCTTCCAGGTACTCTCAAATAAACTGCTAACTCAGTTAACATACTACTTGTGTTCCTTAAACTCACCATTAACAACATTGTAGGCTGTCTTTCGCTGTGACACCTCAACAGTCTTGATTTTCTGGAGTTCTTCTCTTAATGATTCCAAAGCTGCTTAGGATTTCTTTCCAGCCCTGGGAGCTTTGAAACTGTTAATATTCATTTGCATTAGAACCTCAGCACTCAAACAAGAGAGTTTGTTCATCACACCTTCCTACAGAATGTTACAACACAAAGACAGACAGCTGAATCAAATCAGCCTCCCTACCCTTGTGTTCCCAACATGGTAGAATTAAAACCTTCAAAGACCCACAAAATTGACATCAGTGTTTCCTCACCAGACTTTTAGAAGAACCAATCCTAGACTTTGCAAATGGTCAATTGTAGACACTGGGTTTGTAGCTTAAACAAAAGACAAAAACAATTTATTACCAATACATTACGATTAGCGGAATAAAATTAAACAGTAAACTAATCTAATTAATGTCTGTGATTTAAACCTTTGTTTCCAGCCCCATTCTGACAAAAGACAGACAGACAAACAAATAGTTAACAGATAAATTAAACATTAAAGCAAATAATAAAACTGAATAGATCACTTCAGTGATTTTGACAATGCATTATTCGGCAGGAGTATGATCGTTTCTTGGTTGATTTTCTGAAGATTTCACTCGGTGCCACCTTTTCAAGTCACTATGACGCTTCAATGATACTTATAACTTTTGTTTCTACTTTCTGAACTTCCAGTAGCTGATAATGAGAGCTTTCAAATATTCATGCTGTAGCATCAACAGCCAAATTCCTTTTTGAACGTCATGTTTCCTCCAGACTTGCAGGCAGCAGTTCCTAGATACTGACTTTATTAATGGCCAAACATCTGCACTTTGGCTAAACGTACTACTTTCACAGGTGTGAGACAATCTGTAGAATCTGTTGATCAAGAGCCAACCTGTGATTAATTCCCAGGCTTGGCCTCACCAACCTTTGTTTGTTCCATTTTTGAAAACAAGCAGCTCCTTACAGTCCAAAGGTCACCTTTCAGCTGTCAGCTCACAGGTCACCGGTCCAAACCAAGCATTGATTAAAGAAAATAAAATAATGAAAATTCAGGAGGGTTCCAATGAGGAAAAAACTGAAAAGCTGTCTTCAAGAGGCAATTTAACCAGGAAATAGCACAGGAATTGAATAAACACCTTGCATTAGTCTTCTCATCAGACAACATTAATAGCATTACAGAAATAACAAATAATCAAGTGTCAAGGAGAAGAAATAAATACAATAACTAGAGAAAAAGTGCAAAGGAAACTAATAGGCCTAAAGACTGATAAGTCACCTGGACCTTATGAACGAATCTTTCAAACACTATCATATTCTCCTTTCCAATTTCTGGTAGGTCGATTTTGGAACTTTCATTTTTTGATTCATTCTTATTTTGCTCTTTCTTTCACCACTATAAATACACTTCTGTTCTGACTATTCTTCCTGACATAGTGTTTTAGTATCTTAATATGATACACACGTTGATATTTCTGTTGTCTCTAAGATTCACTACATAATTTGCATCATTCAGTTTCTTTAAATTTGATGAAGTCCAGTAAAACTAGCTTTTAGTGGTTCCTGGATATAGGTAACAGCACTAATACCTTGTCTGTCATGCAAAGTTCTGAACTTTGGCCTTTTTACCTGCTTGGGTTTTCATTGTTTGTTGTGATCTTCCAATTTTTTTTGTCCAATCTCTCACTTTTGTTAAATTTTTTTTCAAATTTGACACAACTATTGGAAGTGTGTCTCTGAGCTTTGGTCTATAAATTAATCTTTCTAATTTTAGGAGTCCTGTCACCTCATGCCTATTTAATGGTTCAAAAAGCTGACTCCTGTGGACACGTTTGGGACATAGAATGAACAGAAAACATTGTAGCACAAAAATAGGCTCTTTGCTGACCATGATGTCATTCTAATTAATCCCATCTGCTTATACATGGTCCATATCCCTCTATTACTTGCCTGTTCGTGTGTCTGTCTAAATGCCTTTTAAATGCTGATATCCTATCTGCTTCTACCACTTCCCCGGCAGTGTGCTTCAGGCATCCACCACCCTTTATGTAAACAAAAAACTTTCCTCTCACATTTCCTTTAGACGTCTCCCCTCTCACCTTAAGCCCAAGCCCTCTAGTATTTAACATTTCCATCTTGGGGAGAAAGAACTCCCAACAATCTACCCTAACCATGCCCCTCATAATTTTATATACTTCGATTAGGTTGCTCCTCAACCTCCAATACTGTAACAAAAACAATCCAATTTTGTCTACCCTCTCCTGATAGCTAATACACTCCTATCCAGGCATCATCCCAACATACTCTACGTGTGGCCTAACTGAAATTTTATACAGCTGAAACATGATTTGCCACTTTTATACTCAGTGCTTCAACTAATGAAGGCAAGCATGGTATATACCACCATTACTACCTTATCACTTGTGTTGCCATTTTCAGGGAGCTGTGGACTTGCACCCAAGATCCCTCTCTATACAAGTCCTCCTAAGGGTCCTGTCATTTACTGTATCCTTTCTTCTTGCATTCAGTTTCCCAAAATGCGTCACCTTTCACTTGTCCGGTTTAATCTCCATCTGCCAATTCGCTGTCCAATTTTCCAACTGATCTGTATTTTGCCGTGTCCTTTCACAACCTTCCTCACTACCCACAACTCCTCCAACTGTCATGTTGTCCTCAAAATTACTAATCAGACTACCTACATTTTCATCCAAATTATTGATACTACAGACAGCAGAGGTCCCAGCACTGATCCTGGTGGAACAGCGCTAGTCATAGACATCCAATCATATAAACAACCCTTCACAATTACCCTGTGCCTTCTGTGACTGAGCCAATTTTATATGCAACTTACCATCTCACCATGGATCCCATGTGACTTAATCAGCTGGAGTATCCTATCACCCACAGGCACCCATGTGCCTGCTGCGCACAGCGCTGACCCGACCTCCCCCACGCACACAGAAACACACACACACACACACACACACACACTAGCCAATAGGTCAATTTTCTTTCCAAATGCGGGTACATCCTGTAAGTATGGTTTCCAGTGATTCCCTTACCACTGATATAAGTTCCACCAGCCTATAATGTCCTAGATTGTTCCTATCGCCCTTAAACAAAAGAACATCAGTTGGTTATTCTGAAGCCGTCTGGGCCTTCTGCTACGGCTGAAAAGGATACAAAGATTTCTGTCACAGCTCCAGCAATCACCTCACTTGCCTCCCTCAAAATCATAGGATAGATCCCTGCCTTAATGTTTTTCAAGACACCCAACACCACCACATTCTTAATATCAACATGCCCTAGAATATCAGCACGCTCCTCCCTAATCTTGTGATCATCCACGTCCTCCTCATTGGTGAATATCGATGCAAAATACTCAGTAAGGATCTCACCCACTTCCTCTGACATGATGCATAAATTCCCTCTTTTGTCCTTGAATAGATTAACCCTTTTTCTATCTGCCTTCTTTCTCTTAATATGTGTATAAAATGCCTTGGGATTCTTAATCCTACCCAAGAGAATTTCATGGCCCCTTTTAACCTTCCTAATTCGTTGTTTAAATTTTTTCTGCTCCCTTCATACTTTTCAAGGGCCTTGTCTGATTTCAGTTTCCTAAACTGTGTATATGCTTTGTTTTTTATTTTGAATAAACTTTCAATATCTTGTGTCATCCATGGTTCCTGAATCTTGCCATCCTTATCTTTCATTCTCACAGGGACATGCTGGTCCTAGCTCTGATCAACCCTTACCTTTAATAGAACACCCGTAACGGCAAACAACAAGGGAATTGCATTTTCCCAATCATTAAGACATTTCTGCCAATGAACACTAATTATGGCCTTTAACATATGGTTCCATCTTTCTACTGCTAGATTGTAGATGATAAATTGAAGATGTAAATGATTATATTCCGAAACTATTCATTGGTTCTTTGTGGCATACATTCAGATCAAGTTTTAAATCTATTTTTCCTGAGCAATCTCTCCCTTACTAGTAAGTTCCAAGGAAATACTCCACCTGCATTAATACAACAGTTTTCATACCCATTTCCTTTCTCCATACACTTTTTGTTGAGGATTCCCTAGGCATTCCTACCACTGCAGTAGGTCTCCCATTTAACTTGGAACAGTTAGCTTCAGTACATTCGCTTTATTACAAAGGAAGCGTATTATTTTCATGATCTCACTTCTAGGTTCAAGCCTTTCTCCTATTATTTTTGCTGTGTTTGTTC